TGGAAATTCACCAATATATATTTAGATATAATATAAATTATTTGCACTTGTGAATTTCCATTAGTGGATTTTCACCAGTATAAAAAATATATATTGGTGAAAATCCAAAACTGGAAATTCAACTTAGATTAAGATGAAGTTTCAAAGAATAACAGAGGGCAATAAGTTAGTTTTAAACTTAATTTTTTTCCAATCTTCGTAATCACTTGTAAATTCAAACCTAAATTTCTTTCTCTTTAATTAATAAATTTACACACCAATTCTAAATTTTCAAATCAAAAACATAAATTTCATTACTTAATGTTTAATTATCATAGTTTTTTATTTTAACTTGAGGTTGCTTTTAACAAAATGATATTATGAAAAGAAATTGAGTTCTAGATTTGAAGCTTTAAGTTTTTCTTAGTTATTTATTTGATAAAGAAATACTTTTGCAAACAATCTTAACTTGCCATATTATGATTAATATGAAAAATCTTGATACCTTAATATTTCAATCAAATTATTAAAATGAATAAAAATACTAACTTCCTTAAATTTTTTGAAAAGTAAAGATCTTTAGTTATTCTCAAATTTAATCAACCTTGAATAATGATTAAAGTTTCCTTATTATTATTTTATTAAATATCTGCTTTCAGAATTGCTCATTATTTAAACAAGGAGTTGATATTTCATCATCATTCTTAGATATTGTAACTTATATATATATTAAACCAATATCAGCCATACAAAAATCTTATATTGCGAAGGATTCATTAAATTTATTTTGAAAATAGATGTTTAGACTAAATAATGTAAATAATTAAATTCTAAAAAATTTAATCTTAAAATTGAATGATAGTATTATTCTTAAGGAAGCACTCAGAACTTAAAAACAAAAAAGAGGAGATAAAATGAAAGAAACCAGAACCAAGTACTTTTATATAAGAAAAATAATTGCAGTTTAACATATTTAGTTTTACTATATTATAATCACATTTGCTTTTCTAAAAATTGATTTTAGCCTTCCAATAAATAGCAGCCTTTTTATTTTAAGATTAATCCTAAATCAATACCTAATTGATTCATAAAATATCCATTAAAAATCAGAGCTCCTTCTGCTTAAAATATAAGTTTTTGAGAAATAAGAAGAATTGTAATTGGTGTGGTAGCTAATAAAATTAGAAATTAATACTATTATGGAATAATGAATTGACTTAATGAGGTAATTTTAATTAGGCAAGAATATCCTTTAAATTTTTATCCAAGTCTAGGATTTAATATCCTGTCTTAAAATCCCATAAGCGGATATAACAATCTTAACCACTATTAAGAATACCCCTATAAGATGCTAATAAAGTACCATCAGGTGAGAAGCATACTGAATTTACACAACTATCATGACCCTCCAATTTGGCTATTTATTATCCTGTCTAAACATGCCATATACGGATAGACTTACCATCACTACCAGATGCTAATGTGGCACTATCAGAAGAAAAGCAAAACGAATTTACAAGACTAGTATGCCCACATAATTTGAATTTAAATTTTCTGGTCATCAGATTCCATAATTTGATATGCTTCTCATCGCTACCAGATGCTAATGTAGTACCATCAGGAGAGAAACAAACTGATTGAACATGATTGTTATTACATTTTAATATTGCATCTTATCTTCGTGTTTAAACATTCCATAACACGAATGGAACCATCTCCAAAACTGGGGGCTAATGTAGAACTATTTGGAGAGAAGCATACTGACCAAACCGCACCACCATTGGCATATAATTGATGCAATTGATTTATTTTATATTTTTCCATTTACAATTAAATAATTATGCCCCATTCAAGTTTCATTCTGCTTACACATACATTTTCGAAATAAGATCCGCTCAAATTGCATCTTAGAAAGTTCGCTCCAATCAAAGAAGTGTTTTTGATCTTGATGTTTTCAAAGCTTTATTTTGTAAGATCAATCTTCATTTCAATTAATAAATTTAATGAATTAGATCCACTTTAGATGAATTAGTTATCCAAAGATGTAAGCTGAAGTAAAAATTATAAAGATTTGATGATCTTCTAATCCTCTTTTATATTTTCCTTTAAACTTTGTCTCGTTTGCAAATAGATTTCAGTGGAATAGTTATTTTAATTAAAATCATGGTCTCTTATTTATTTGAGAATATTCATTATTATCTTAATGTTATTTGTTACTACATTTAACTTCTAATCTTTATCAACCTATAATAAATTTTCTAATTGCAAAATGAATTATTTGCAATGCATTTGATTATCTTCTTGTTATAGATATCCTAAATTATCTGAATATTTTCTTTTCTAAATATTTCAATTATCACACTGAATATTTATTCATTAACATCTTTAACATTAGATAAAATCTCCGATAGATCTTCTCTCTATTCATTAGTGCATTACATTTTCTCAATTTTAATTTAAATTTCTATTACTTTTTTTTTATTATTATATAAATACAGTAAAAAAGTATTTTATGTAATTTTTTATGGAGACTAGACTTTTTGAAAATTTAGAGTCGATTGAAATGTAGGAATAATTACTCTTTAGAAATATAAAAAACTATTTTTAATGCATCATTTATGATTTTATAAAAAAAAATTCTATATCACAAGTGATTTATTTGATTAATTTTTTATCATCAATGGAGGTCGATGCTTAAAAATTACTCTAAAAATTAATGAAAAAAAGAAAAACAAAGATAAGCATTAAAAACCTCTTAAAATCTCCTATTTTTTTATAATTATGAATTTTTAATCGGTTTTATGTTATTATAATTATAATCGCTTGGGAATGTTTAATCTGAGTTTGAAATTGTTTTTTGTTTATTTTCAATTGAATACAAAAAATACGTGTATATAGTAAACTTGCTCAAATTTATGTGTGATAAACTAAAATTTAGAGAGAGATTTATTAATTAGATACAAATGTTTTTTCTCCTTTGCTACAAGAAAAAGTCAGCCTTAAGTCTTAATCATATAGTCATAATTTCAAGCTGATTGTAACTTTTCATAATTCATTATCCAAATTCATCGCCCATTTCATCTCCTTATCCGAGCATGCAATTCACATTACAATTTCAAGATTAATATCATCTAAAAAGCTAAATTTTTAAAAAAACTGAAAAAATTAGTTTAACACCTTTTTAATACTTTTATAACATGTTATACATTAGGTTTCGCTTGCTCTCAACATTGAATCAATTTCTAAAAGTTATTATTTGTGTAGATGCCAATTTCTTTGGTCATTATCAAAGATTCCAAGCTAAACTATGCTTGTTATAAATAAAATCAAGATTATTATGATTTAAACAGAAATTTTCAAAATTGCATAAATAAGTGGAATTTTTTTTGATCCTTCTAATATCAGAAGCGTTCATTTCGCAGTTCTAATTGAGTTACCTTGAAAAATTATTTATGTGAAAATTACTTTAATTGTCATCATACTAGTGAATACAAAGCTCAAATTTGAAAATTGCTAATTACTGAGTTATAATAAAAATGATTCGCAATTTTGAGAAGAATATCTAGCTTTTATTTATAGTACATATTAGCATTACAGAAAAAAAGATTAACATAAATCAAGAAATATAAAGAATTAATTCAATAAATTTTAATTTAATCTCCAAGATTTTTAGATATATTTGGTATTTTGTAAAGGAATTTTATTTTAATTATGAATAATTGTTTGTCCTATGTTTATTTTTAATTTGACAAACAACATTACTTCTCAATTAGTATCTTTCATTCCTTGATAATTTTTGAGTAATAATATACAACTTAATTCAAGAAAATTGAAAATATAAAAAATTGAAGTAACTTTTTGATATAATTAATCAAAATTAATCATATAAAGAACATGAATCTATTGATATAGGAAATACTGCATTAAAGTTAGTACATAAAAACATATCTATTCCCTAATAATTTAATTTTTAAAAATTAATTTTTATTTTTAGAATATATCTTAGCCTTACTTCATTCTATTTAAAATTTAGGTCTTATTTTGAAAATAAAATTTGTTAAAGAAAAATAATTAGAAATTATTACAAAAAAGAAATTGATAAAAAACAAATTTATTTTAAATATTTATTTGAGATTTTCAAGGCTAGATGATGCTCTAATTAAGAAGAAAAAAATATATTTTTAAGTATAAAACTATTAAATTCAAAATTTGATTTGACTAATCAGTTCAATTAGAAATACTATATGAAATTTATTGTGATATTAGTAGACATTTTATAGAATTTCATGAAAAATCAAAATAGAAAAGGAAAGCCTAAATTAGGATAAGTCTGTTCCCTAATTCTTTTTAAAAGTTGTTCATATATTTAAAAAGTGCAAGAAATAGTAATATCTTTATTATTTAACTTTTCATTCTTCAAAAGACTAGTAAGATGTAATGCCATAAAATCAGGAGTTAAAGAAATTGGAAATATGTTTGAAAAACCAAGTTTGAATTCTTGTTTGAGTTAATTAAAGAAAGATTATTGCATTTTTCAAAAGGGATAAGAGGTTATGAGAAAGTTTTTTCTATTTTTAAAAGAAATATCTAATATTTCTGAATGTAAAACTAAATGGAGCTATAATCTAAATTTATAATTTCATTATTCAATAGCTCATGCTAACAAATATTAATATATATAAGTTTTTCACAATAAAGCATTCGAAGGCTTCTTAAAAATATTTTAATTTCATTCTTTTGTTAAATACAGTTATTAACTCAAATTTAACCAAAAACTATTATTTTTTAGTTTTCACTACTCATTTAAATTGACAATTTCTCTCATGTTACTTTTTTATTTGTTTATAATTTACATCATCATAATAGTGTAAATGAATCAATATTCATTTCTAAATAATTAAACACATCAAAAATATTTTTATATGAACTAATTTTGGAAAAAATAATTTTAAATAAACAGTTATCTGTGATTGATACAATAGGAGATAATGAAAAAACTAATAGTATATTTATTGTATATCTAAAAATTTAAGGTTATAAGATAAGTTATTTTTCCAATTAACAATTTATTGATTCTGATTTTCTTTATTCAAAATATTTAAATTAGGAATGAAACAATGTAAATTCTTTTTTTCATGTGACTAATAATTATAATATTTGTAAGTGTTTGATTTCTTAGAGGAAGATTAAAATACTTAAATTGAAAAATTACGATAAAAAAATGAAGACCTAGTAGGTCTCAAAGTAATTCAAAATGAATGATGTATTAAAACATGTTATTTTATAAATTTAAATAGAAATCATATATATATAATGAAAGAAAATTTTTTATTGATTTTGGAGAATCTAATTTACTTTCGTTTTACTTAATTCACTTATCAAATTTCTTTATTTAAACTCAAAATAATTCTTATAGTATGCTAATAGTATCGGTATTTTTATATAAATAAAATTTCTTTTCGAATAATTCCAATGCATTTATTGTAATAATTTAACTCTTTGATGGATGCTGGGTGATTCTATACACTTTTATTAAAGTATTTAATGATATTAAATATAATCCTACTTTTCTTGTTTTTTTTTATTACATGTTTAATTTGAGGTAAAATTCACTCGTTTTTATAATAATCAATATTTATTTTAAATAAGTTAAATGTCTTGCACTTTTAAAAAGAAAGATGATTTGTATGAGGTTTTAGCTTAATCTAAAGATATTGATGATTCATTTTACAGGGTGATCATCGATATATTGAGAATAGAAAAGATTTCTGATTGTCTAGAATTTCTTTCAAAACCTGACAATGAAAAGCATTATGAATAATATATTTTGTAGATGAAAAATTTATAATTTGTGGAAAAGGAATAATAGCTATTACTAGGAAAATCTAACATTTAGAAGATTACTAACCTAATCTAAACAATATTAGATCATGATTTTAATGAAAATAATTATTCTGAAGAAACTTACAGAGAAACTAGACAAGAACTAATTAAGAAAATATAAGAGAATTAAAAGATCAGGGAATTTTTTTTATTTTTAGTTAACCTAACAGCTCTAGATAATAAATTGATAAGGTGCGGATCAAATTCACTTAATTTATTAGTTGAAATGAAAGTTAATTTTAAATAGCAATCCTTTGAAAACATCAGGATTAAAGATACTTCTTTGATTGGAGCAAAGTTACTTTAGTGTAATTTGAGTGGATCTGAATTTTCAAATGTAGACATAAGTGGAGCAAATTTGAATGGAGCTTTATTATTTAATTGTAAATGGAATAATTTAAAAATACAGGAGTTACTTTAACTCGATGACCATAATGATTATGTCCGATCCATTTGCTTCTCATCTGACGGTACTTAATTAGTTTCTTGTAGTAAAGATAAATCTATAAAATTATGGAATGTAAGAACAGGAAGAAAAATAACGTAATTATTTGGTCATTAATATGATGCCTAATCAATATGCGTTTCTCCTAATGGCCTTACTTTAGCATCTGGTAATCAGGATGGTTTTATTTTTTTAAGTAATGTTAAGACAGGAAAAAAACTATGTAAATTAAAATGCCATAACTAAATTGTAAATTCATTAAGCTTCTCTCCTGATGGTAAAATACTAGCTTCTGGTGGTTCAAATAAGTCAATTAGTTTATGGGATGTAAAGAAAGGAATATAAAGCCTAATTTTAGAAGGACATAGTGGTAGAGTTCAATCAGTACGCTTCTCTCCTGATGGTACTACATTAGCATCTGGTAGTGATGACAAGTCAATCCGTTTATGGGATGTTCAGAAAGGATAATAAATATTCAAATTAGACGGTCATAGTGGGAGAGTCTGGTCGGTTTGCTTCTCTCCAGATGGTACTGCATTAGCTTCTGGTAGTGATGACAATTCTATTCGTTTTTGGGATGTAAAGACAGGACAATTGAAGCTGAATTTGTATGGTCATTGTAATAGTGTCCTATCAGTATGCTTTTCTCCCGATGGTACTGCATTAGCATCTGGTAGTGATGACAATTCTATTCGTATATGGAATGTTTAGACTGGATAGTAACAAATCAAATTAGATGGTCATATTAATAGAGTTCAATATTTATGCTACTCTTCTGATGGTACTACATTAGCATCCTGTAGTGCAGATAGGTCTATCCGTTTATGGGATGTAAAGTCAGGACAATAAGAATTCAAATTAGAAGGTCATAAAGATTCTGTCAATTCATTATGCTTCTCTCCAGATGGCGCTACATTAGCATCAGGTAGTGGAGATTTTTCTATTCTTTTATGGGATTTAAAGACAGAAAAATAAAAATTTTAATTAGATGGGCATAGGAGTGATATCAGATCAATATGCTTTTCTCCCGATGGTACTGCATTAGCATCAGGTAGTGATGACAATTCAATCCGTTTATGGGATGTTCAGAAAGGATAATAAATATTCAAATTAGACGGTCATAGTGAGAGAGTCTGGTCGGTTTGCTTCTCTCCAGATGGTACTGCATTAGCATCTGGTAGCGATGACGAATCTATTCGTTTTTGGGATGTTAAGACAGGACATTTGAAGCTGAAATTGTATGGTCATGGTAATAGTGTCCGATCAGTATGCTTTTCTCCAGATGGTACTGCATTAGCATCTGGTAGTGATGACAAGTCAATCCGTTTATGGAATGTTTAGACAGGATAGTAAAAATTTAAATTATATGGTCATGCTGATTATGTACCATAAGTGTGCTTCTCTCCTGATGGTGCTATATTAGCATCGTGTAGTTATGATAAGTCAATTCGTTTTTGGGATGTTAAGACTGGAAAACATAAATCTAACTTAAATGGCCATAGTAGTAGAGTATTATCAATATGCTTCTCTCCAAATGGAGCCACATTGGCATCTGGTAGTGGAGATCTCTCTATCCGTTTATGGGATGTTTAAAAAGGCCAATAAAAATTTCAATTATATGGTCATAGTAAATGGATTCAATCAATATGCTTCTCTTCTGGAGGCAATATCTTTGCATCTGGGAGTGATGATTAATCTATTCGCTTGTGGGAAATCAATACAGGAACATAAATTCTTCCTTAATATAAAAGTATTATAGATGTATAAGATCAATTCAAAACATCAGTTTAATAAAATTAATTTTTAGAAGGTGGTATTTATTTGATTTTATTTAGTAAACCATGTTGTTACTATTTTACGTATAGCCCAATATATCCATTTTGAAGCATATGGAGCTCTCATTTTTAAAGGAGAATTTCATAATCATTAAGGCAGAGATTTGCGATATTTATTCAAAGAAAGAGGAAGTTGTATTTTGAATAGCCAAATTGAATTTTCATGATATTAAATCAAAAGCATCATGTGCAACATTATTAACAGTTAATTTCATCTATTTTAAAATTTAATTCATTATATTATTTGTTAAAGAATCAAAATGAATTATAATTTTTTCAACTTTGAATATCTTAATATCTAATATATTTAATATTTTAAATATAATATCAAATCACATATGATTTAAATTAAGATTTCTATCCAAAATCTGTGACTTTATTAGTGCCTTTCTGTTATGCATCATTGATAAGGTGTATTTCATTTGAATTTAAATTCCTAAAAATAAGCTCTAAGAACAAAGAACTCTTAATTTATATTCATAGCACGGATGAATCTGATAATTCAGACACAAGTATATGACTCGGTTCATATAACTTAGTTTTATGGAACTGATCCAAAAGTTACGATGTCTCTAGAGCTGAAGCTTTGACAGACAGCCGATCCACCTGACTTCATTTCTAAGAAACAAAGATAGCTGCCTCTTCCAAAGCTGTACAAAAGAACTTGGCATACTTAATATCTCAAAGTCCCTTCCAAATATAATGCTTTGATGTGGATTCACATCCTTGGACCCTAAACTCTGTTAGATTATTTTCTTAAAAATAATTACTTTTAATTTATTATATATATTGTTTATAAGATGCCATTATATTTTTTCTTTTCCATTGGCATGATATTTCCCTCAAGAATTCTTAAAGCAAGTAATTGAAAGCAAATGTTTACTTTTGTCATAATAATTTTCAGATGGGATTTAGGTGATTTTGAAGCGAGGATGATAATATAGATAATAAGGGAATATTAAAATGTTTTACTTTAAAAAAAAACTCATTAAAACTTGAGATAGATATTTTCTAATATTAGGTTTGGCTAAAATCATAGACGTTTTTTTAATGATATAATATTAAGAGAACAACAACCTCCCTCAAATTTGGTGAATTTTACATTTAGTTAATACTATTTCCTTTTTTGCAGAGCAAAAATATGTTATGGGTATTCTTAATAATACCATAAGATTTACTTCTGTTATTTTCTCTAAACATATTGATTTGCTTAATTATTTTGATCCTACAACATAGTTTGAAATTATGAATGAACTTAAAATTATGCAAAATCTTTTTTACTTTATTCTCTTCTGTTAATAAAATATATATTATAATTTAAATCATTTGATGGAATAAAACAAACTAAAATTCATTGCTTCCCTCAATTCTGTTAAATATTTTTTATAATTTACCTATATTTTTTAAGTTTTATTGAATAGATCTTTTCTTACAACCAAAGGAAATAGTTTAATTGTTCCATATATGAGTAAACTTTGTTAAAAAAAGTCATAATTTAATTCTTTTTTGTTCCTTATTCATGGAGAGGTAAAAATTAATGGGTTTTAAATATTTTTATTTATAAAATCTTCACTAAAATTTATCAAATTAAATTTTCATTGAGTTGCTTAAAACCCACCACCATACAAGAAGCGTAATTATTTCAGGGATAATGATATGGTGATATCCTATTCAAGTACATAAGGTTTGAGGTCTTCTTGGAATGAATAACCCATGATCCAAGAAGACATCATAAACCATAAGAATAAAAATAATTATGATTATATATTAAGGTTATCATGTTAAACTCTCCAAACTATATTCAAGTTGCCAAAAATTGTGAATATAATTGTTACTACAAACAAGAAAATCAATTGTTAATTGAATTTAAGAATTTAAATTAATTGGTGAAGTCGACTGAGAAAAATCTTGTAATCTATTAAAAGGCTTTTATTAAATATGAAAATCATTGTACTTATCAATTATCAGTTTTTTTACTTGAACATAAAATTATCGATTCGCCCAGGTTAAATAGTTATGCCTAAGTCAAAAATGCGTTCTTAAGATTGAAAAATTTTCTCAAGGACTTTCTTACTAAACATGAAAATCTTTTTGGGTGACATTAAGAGTATCCTAATAACAATCTGTATTATAAGGGGGCATTGTACTTTTGAAATTTTTTAAATGATTCTCTATTAGAATTTACTTCATTGCTTTACGAAACACAGAGTGTAGAAAGATTTTTGAGGAAAATTTGTTAATCAAAATCGATCTCCAACTGGGATTATATATAAATTTATTAATTATACCCAAAGCTCAAACTTCACATTTTTGAACATTAATTCTCATAAAAATACATCCTTGATGAACATTTTTTTGAACATTCAAGTTTTTGAGAAAAATAATTTAACTTAAATGATCGAATTTATTTTTTTATTAATTCAATCAATCCTAAAAACTGTAATTTATAGAAGATATTTAGAAAGACATTTTAATGCTTGAAATTTTTTTAAAAAAAGCTCTCATTAATGTTTCGATCTATCAATTAATTAGTTTCAAAATTTGATATTATTCCTCAAATTCAGTTGATAGAATTACATGAATCTAACTTCTGGCTTCATTAAACTTTCTCCAAGAATAATATAGTAATATGAAATTTTTGACAAAGACTTTTTCTTAGATTTGTTCTTTTTCATTAGATGATAATGATAAATAGATGCACCGTTAATCAGCTTATAAGCAAATCACTAAAATCTTGGAATTTTTATTTTTTAATAACTTTGACTTTACAATAAATATTATAAAATTTAAATTTGCTAAATTAATTCTAGTATATTTTACCAATTCGTCATGTTAAATATGGAATCAAATAGTTTAAATTATCTTTTGCAAAAATTAATTTAGTTTTATTAATCGATTATTTTTGATTTATAATTTGAATTTTTCGAAAAAATAATTAGTTTATTAGTAAATTGCAAAAAAGTTGGTGGTGTTACTTAAACAATTAATTCCACATAATGGTTCATTGGCTTAATTAAATCAATAATTGATTTCATATTATTTATGTAATTTATATTCTTAATTTATGGTATATTAGATTTATTAATTATTTTTATTTATTTAGATTAAAAAATGGAAATCTTTAAGTGTAAATATGTTACCCATGAAAATGAAGAAATAATTGGATTTTGTTTGAATCAGAATTGTTAAAATGCAAGTCAATACTGTTATGAATGTTTAAGTTCAACTCATTTAGAACATTTTAATGATTGTATTCGATTCACTAAAATGATCGAATTAATAAATGAATTAATTCAAAAATGCAATCAATCAAAGATATACTTCTAAGAAATCTCAAAACAATTTTAGAAATTTTTTGAACACATTTAAAAAAAAATGGATTAGGATATTAAGTTATTAGAAATTATGCCTCATCAACTTTTGAACCAAGATTATTTGAGTTTTAATTCTTAAATTCACATAATAAAGCAGCTTTACTCAAAGGAAAAAGAAAATTAAATATGTGTTTATTTAATAATTATTATAGAGAAACAAATATTAAAATTGAATATTATTCTAGATACAATAAAGAAGATGGTACCAGAAGAAATTGTTGTTTAGAATTCAGGCTAGTAAAAAGAAATTAATCAGGTGAGTGATGATGTATAACAGTAAAATGTTAAAGAAGTTAATAGATTATTAAATGAAGGTGCTAGCTTATATTAAAATTTTAGGTTTTGCATTACAAAACTAATAGAAATACTAAGAAGCCATTTAATGTTACGACAAAGTTATCTTAATTAATCCTTTATATTATATCGCATGGAATAATAAGGGTAATAATGTTTTAAGAATTATTATTTAGGTTTTGCATTACATAATTATGAGAAATACTTAGAAGCCATTGAGTGCTACGACAAAGCTATCTTAATTAATCCTTTGTATTATACTGCATGGAATAATAAGGGTAATAAATTTTTAAGGGTTATTATTTAGGTTTTACATTAAATAAATTACAGAAATACTAAGAGGCAATTGAATGTTGCAAAAAAAAATATCTTAAATAATCCTTAAAATCATTCTGCATGGAGTAATAAGGGTAAATAATTTGAAAAGCATTTTAATTTAGGTCTTGCATTAGATAAATTATGTTAATACTAGGAAGCTATTGAGTGCTATGAAAAAGTTCTCTTAATTAATCCTTAATGTGATCAAGCATGGAATGATAAGGGTAAATAATTTAAACTACTATTAATTAGGTCTTACATTAAATAATTTACGGAAATACTTAGAAGCAATTGAATGTTACGATAAAGCTATCTTAATTAATCCTAGATGTAATTCTGCATGGATTAATAAAGGTAAATAATTTGTAACCATTATTTAGGTCTTGCCTTACATAATTTACGAAAATACAAAGATGCTATTGCTTGTTTCAACAAAGCAATCTTAATTAATCCTAAAAATAGTTATGCATTGTATAATAAGGATAACTAATTTGTAAACCTATATTATTTAGGTCTTGCGTTAGATAAATTATATTAATACTAAGAAGCTATTGATTATTATGATAAAGTTCTCTTAATTAATCCTTAATAAGATTCTGCATGGATTAGTAAAGGTAAGTAATGTTAAAGAATTATTATTTAGGTCTTGCATTATCTGTTCATATATATGACTATATGGCTTACAAAATGTACGGAAAACTAAGAAGCTATTGTTTGTTAAGATAAAGCTATCTTCTTTAATCCGAATAATAATTAGACATGGTTGAATAAGGGTAATTTATTTTAATTATTTTGATTTAGGTCTAGCATTAGAAAAATTATTTTAATTCCAAGAAGCTAATGAGTATTACCACAAGGCTGCCTTAATTAATCCTATATGTGATTAAACATGGGTCAATAAGGGTATTTAATTTTTAAACATTACTATTTAGGTTAGGCTTTAAGTAAATTACAGAAATATGAATAAGCTATGGAGTGTAATGAAAAAGCTATTTGATTTAATCCTTAATTTGATCTTGCATATATTAATAAGGGTAACAAATTTTTCAATCATTTATTTTTTAGGTTAAGTTTTAGATAAATTATGCTAATACTAGGAAGCTATTGAGCGCTATGAAAAAGTTCTCTTAATTAATCCTAAATGTGAACAAGCATGGAATGATAAGGGTAAATAATTTAAACTACAATTAATTAGGTCTTACCTTACATAATTTACAGAAATACTAAGATGCTATTGAGTGTTACGACAAAGCTATCTTAATTAATCATTACTTTGAATCTGCATATATAAATAAGGGTAACCAATTTTTAAGCTGTATATGTTAGGTTAGGCTTTAAATAAACTTCAAAAATATAAAGAAGCTAATGACTGTTACGGCAAAGCTATATATAATAACCCTAAAAATGATTAAGCATGGATTAATAAGGGTAATAATTTTTTTTTCTTTTAGGCTAAACTTTAAGTAAATTACAAAAATTTACTGGAGCCATTGAGTGTTATGACCAAGTTATTCAAATTAATCCTTAATGCGATATAGCATGGAGAGATAAGGGTAACTAATTTAAACTATTATTATTTAGGTTTTGCATTATATAATTTACAGAAATACAATAAAGCTNTATTATTTAGGTCTTGCGTTAGATAAATTATATTAATACTAAGAAGCTATTGATTATTATGATAAAGTTCTCTTAATTAATCCTTAATAAGATTCTGCATGGATTAGTAAAGGTAAGTAATGTTAAAGAATTATTATTTAGGTCTTGCATTATCTGTTCATATATATGACTATATGGCTTACAAAATGTACGGAAAACTAAGAAGCTATTGTTTGTTAAGATAAAGCTATCTTCTTTAATCCGAATAATAATTAGACATGGTTGAATAAGGGTAATTTATTTTAATTATTTTGATTTAGGTCTAGCATTAGAAAAATTATTTTAATTCCAAGAAGCTAATGAGTATTACCACAAGGCTGCCTTAATTAATCCTATATGTGATTAAACATGGGTCAATAAGGGTATTTAATTTTTAAACATTACTATTTAGGTTAGGCTTTAAGTAAATTACAGAAATATGAATAAGCTATGGAGTGTAATGAAAAAGCTATTTGATTTAATCCTTAATTTGATCTTGCATATATTAATAAGGGTAACAAATTTTTCAATCATTTATTTTTTAGGTTAAGTTTTAGATAAATTATGCTAATACTAGGAAGCTATTGAGCGCTATGAAAAAGTTCTCTTAATTAATCCTAAATGTGAACAAGCATGGAATGATAAGGGTAAATAATTTAAACTACAATTAATTAGGTCTTACCTTACATAATTTACAGAAATACTAAGATGCTATTGAGTGTTACGACAAAGCTATCTTAATTAATCATTACTTTGAATCTGCATATATAAATAAGGGTAACCAATTTTTAAGCTGTATATGTTAGGTTAGGCTTTAAATAAACTTCAAAAATATAAAGAAGCTAATGACTGTTACGGCAAAGCTATATATAATAACCCTAAAAATGATTAAGCATGGATTAATAAGGGTAATAATTTTTTTTTCTTTTAGGCTAAACTTTAAGTAAATTACAAAAATTTACTGGAGCCATTGAGTGTTATGACCAAGTTATTCAAATTAATCCTTAATGCGATATAGCATGGAGAGATAAGGGTAACTAATTTAAACTATTATTATTTAGGTTTTGCATTATATAATTTACAGAAATACAATAAAGCTTTTGAGCGTTACGAATAAGCTATCTAAATTAATTCTAAAGATGGTTCTGCATGGATTAAAGAAGGTATCTTATGTTTTAATTTAGGAGTTGCATTACATAAATTAAAGAAATACAAAGATGCTATTTTATGTTACGATTAAGCTCTTTCAATTTATATTAATCCTCTAGTATTAAGGCTAAAAGGTATGCAATTCTTAATTAAATATAAGCTGATTCGCTATTTGAATTAGGAAACAAAAATGAAGCTAATGAATTATATATGGCTGCATTGGAAAAAGGATCAGATTAGAAAGATTATGTAGAGAAATAGCTATAAAAGTTATGAAGCATTATTATATCATCAATTTTAGATTTACATCTAATATTATATGATATTTTTAATTTTTAACTTTAGTTTTATAGGATTATAAAATTACAAAAAAAAGAAATTGAAAAATCTTTGATTTAGGAAGTACTTTTACCTACATAAATATATTCAAAATAAAAAGTACATTCTCATTCCAAAAAAAAGTTTCCCTTCAAAACCTTTATAATATAAGTAAGAAATGTTGTGAAAAGCATAAAAATCGAATCTTTTATTATTGATTCATAGCTTTTACAATATTGATTCTTATTATTGATATCTTTCAACAAGAAAGGTTATAAATAACCAATAATTTAGGGTAGAATCAGATTGATGATGTTTGAATTTTCAAGCAGATGGGAACTATCATGAATTAAAAGTTACTCTTTTCAATTCTAAAATAAGAAGGACACTTATTAATGCAAATATAAAGAACTTAAACATTTTTTTGATATTTATTTTAATATTTTGTCTTGATTTTTAAGCAAATAGATTTTCCAAATTTCACTTAAATATTCTGTTTTAATCTTATTTTTTAAACTTTTGTTATATAAATCTGCAAATTATTTTATTTTTTGTTTCAATTTAGTCTTGGAAAAGAGTCAAATAAAATTTAGTTTGTTAGAATATTATGATGACTTTACAAATAAGAAAAAAAAATTTCGTAATGATCTAATAAAACTTTGTTGGCTGCATGTTTAAAATTCTATCAAATAGATATTACTATCAACTTGTATCATCAAACACAATCATTCATATAATGATAGCTTTATTTTTTTTATAAGAACAGTAATAAAAAAAGCTTGTTGCTAGCTGGGAATTTCAAAATTCAAAGCAGAAATCGAAATCTTAAGTTATAAGATTTAATTAAATTTAGATCTAAATAGAGTTTATGAATATAGCTAATAGAGTTGAATTAGAATTATCTAATTTATATTATATTAATTATGAACTTTAAGGTGTTAAACTAATTTTAGGAATCATTTTTACTTTCCACACATTGTTATCTGAATTCTAAGTAAATATACCTTGTAATATGATAAGATACAAATTAAGATTAATACCAGATGAATAAGAATTGATAGTCTCATTATCTGATTTGCAATTTATTCTACCATAAAATAATACTCTGTTTGCATCTCTGGGTGAAAATTTCCCGATAGAGACCAGGATTTTTTCTTTGATGACGTATAAAATAAGTTCTTGAATGAGCCTTTTTAGAAGCTATTCACCTGATAAAGTAATATCTTTTTAAGTTTTTTTCAATGATAATCTATAAAAATATTTGAAAGCTCATAAATAAATAATAAAATAAACTTTTTCTTTCAAATTGGGTTGCATTGCTTGACCCTTAGACTAGATTAGCCTTGTTAAGAAAAAAAAAAGTTTCCTTAAAGGAATCCTACTGATTAAATCCATTTCTAAATAATTCTCACCCCTTAATTTTGAATGGCACAATTTGCAATATAGTTTAAGCAGCGTTTTCTAAACAATATAAAGTTTCTTTCTAAATCTAAAGAGAGATACTCTATAGACCAAAAAATAGTCCTGAATTCTTGACCTAATTTAGGACCATGCTTCAAAATTAGTTAGATTAAAATTGATTGTTTTTTCTAAATTTTATTTGCTTTTTAGATAATTTATTAGTTAACTTAATTATCATCATCTGCCAATCTATTCTATTTGTAGATAGCAAATTTGTTTGTCTTAATGGGAGGCTATCACCCTTTTTATATTTTTTTCTTTACACTCCTAAATAAACGATTTTAAGTTTAAATTAAAATTGTTTTAAGTAGATCTTAAAATGTACTCCGATTGATTATGAGATCTTCAAAAGTACATTAACTTTTTCCATAAACCAATTAAATGGCATTTATATCTCCTTCACTTAACTATGATCTTTATCCAAATTAATAATTCTTATATTCACTTTTAGATATCATGTTTTTATTTAAATAGTAATGCAAAATCGATTGAGGATCATAATCACTCTTCATAAAACCCTTTTTTTCATATTAATACTTTAGGTTCAGAGAATTTTTTTCAGAAAATTATACAGAGACATAATTATCTCTATCCTACCTACATTATTCATGTTTAAAGCCCAGAATATACATTGTTTCGTGAAGATATGTTCCATAAGGAAATTTATCATCTATATAAACAGGATGTTCTTTTCTAGATAATGATCTCCCAATCCATAATACATAACTCTAATTATTTCGGCTTTTATAATATTTTACATATTGATTATATTCTCGAGGATTACGTATTTTAACAAATCGAATAGGAGTTTTTTATTCAAATTCGTTAATTGCTCATTATAAGGCCTTTCTCATCTGATATGTAAAGGATTCATCAATATTATATGGTATTATACCTTTCTGCCATACCCAATCAGCAAATGTTAAACTTTGAAGTTTTTGATTATTGTTTTAATAATTCTATAATTATGATCTAGATTATTATAATGGATAGTTATCCTGTTGGTATGGTGGGTAGTATTAAATTGGTGGCTAATAAAATAATTATTGTTATATCCTATGCTATTAGAGAGGTTATTGTTGTTAGTATATCTAATTAGATTAAGAAGGGTAGTTTCCTGAATAATTCGACTGTTATTAGAAGGGTTATTACTATTAATAGCCACTATTTATCTATTTTGGCTATTTATACTGACTCTCGAATCCTTTTAAATAATCTTCAGTCACTAAACAATAACGTACGTAATTTTCCTCTAAGGAAGAGTTTGGTTAGCTATTTTTTTTTGATATTTTAACAATAGACTCAGTATTATTAATATTTATTAATTATAGCATTAAAGAATTAAAAATTTCAGTTTAAATTGATAGAGTAAATTTAATAGGAAAGCACATTTAGGTGAGCTGACATTCATATATAGGTAAAAGAAATTAATAGCTTTTAATTTCAAGATTTCCAAAATTATATGTGTTTATGATTAATTTTTTGAAAATGAAAACAAAAAACTATAAGATTAGAATCAAATGTATTATATTACAGAGGCTATTGAAATTAAATTATTGTTTAAAAATCTAATTTAATCTTCTATGAATAAAATTAGAAAAAAATTAGAATCATAAATTTATGTAAAACTGAGCAACTGAAATTTTTTTACAATACCTGTAATTTATTATTTTTATTTTGCCATCCTAAATACTTTATAGAAAATAAATCTAAATAACAGCCCTATTAAAAAGTCTAAGAAATAAATCATGATATATATATTAGTCTTTGAAAAGGACGAATTTTATCTAATAAGAGTATTTTAGTTACTTAAATTTCTAATTATTATATTATTTAAACGTATAGCATTATATTCTTCAACTTGAAAACATTCCAAAGGATAATAGTCCTCTATGAATTAAAATATTAATTTTTTTTGAATATAAATTAGATTTTAAAAGTATTGTAATATAAAAAGTATTTTAATATAAAAAGATAAAGATTTAATAATATATTAATAATGAATTAAAATGATGATATAAGTATCAAATGCCCAAATTCAGAGCATAATAACAATGTTAAATTCGTATGCTTTGATGAATCTTGTAAATAATAGAGATTATATTGCATATAATGTATAAAAAATGGAATTCATGTTTCTCATCCTCAAAATTAAGAAGAATTGCCTAAAATGTTTGAACATATTTAATAAGTTGAAATTGAATGTGATGATTTAACTAATAAGATGACTAAATAAATGGATTTACTTTAATAAGACTTCTATTTATTAATTGAAGGAATAAGATCTAAATATAAAATATCTAAACAATAAATCTTAAACTTAAATTCTTAATAAATGAATTCTTATGTATAATAAAGTGTAAATTTCACAAGTAATTAATATAATTATGCATAAATGAATTCTAATCTTAAATAGAAAAATTAATATCTGAATTACAATTAACTGAATTAAGTTATAATCAAATATCTAACTTATATATAAATAAATCAGAAGAATTATATTAAAATGGTATTAAATTTATAATTTAGGATATAAATTATATTCGAATGATAAATAATATGATGAGGCTATTAAAATATTAGATAAAGCATTAAGTTTTAATACAAAGCATTAATTATCATTATATAGTAAAGGTTTGATCATATTTTAATGTATTAGCGGAGAGTTTAAGAATGCTTGGTTAATATAATGAAGCAATCATTTGGGCAGATAAAGCTTTACAAGTTAATCCAAAGGATTGTTTTTCTTTACGTACTAAAGGTATGATCATATTTATTTGTTTAAAGGTCATTCATTAAGATTATTGAAAGATTATAAGGAAGCTTTGAAAGCAATTGATTAATCTCTATCAATCAACCCAAATCATTTGAGTTCATTATAATCAAAAGGTTGATGTATGTTATATTTTCAAGGGCATTGTTTACAAAATTAGAATAATTATTAAGAAGCCTTATTATTTTATGAAATAGCTCTAAAGATTAATTCAAATCATTAATGGACCAAAAATAGAAAAGGTAATATATATCTTGAATATTAAGATGAATGTTTAAAAGCTTTAAATACTAAATGAAATCGAAATGTATTTTTATATCAAAACACATTATCATTATTAAAAATCTTTATATTAGTTTAATTAGTTTATTCCATAAAAATAATAAATTAAAAATGAATTCATTCTTATAGAAACTCTTAATAAAATAAAGATTGTGGATAGATACAGTAATATTCTGTTTGAAAATCAATACAAAGGATTGCAAGCTTTAAATAAATAAAGTTATTAAATTAATATATATATCTTCAATCTTCTATTGATCATGCTAATTATATAATTAAATATAATTTACTTTGCACTTATTAAATTACTTATTTTTTAATTTATTTCCTATTGATTAAGAAAAATCTATAATTATCTATGAATACTTTGAATACTACTTTTGTACTTCTAAGATTTCTGTCCAGAGTAACGATTTCCAGCTACTTATATAGAGCTTAATTTTTAATAAAAGAGCCCTGATATCATCCTAATCTTTTTAATTTTAAATACTTCTCCAGTATATCTTCTTATAAATTCCTATTGAATTTTAATTCAATAATATCTCTTATTGCATACTAAACCACAACTTTCTCAAATAGCATTTTAGAAAGTGAAAGAATTTAGGAGATGCATGCTGCAAGAAAATTTAGGCTTCTAGCAAAGAGATAAAAAAAAGATCAAATTACTTACAAAGAAAAAACTAAGAAATCTAATAGTATCAGATATTAAAGTGAGTTTCCTAATTTAAATAATAATTTCAAACACCCATTTATTTTGGATAGATACTAAAGCAAAAGTTAAAAATCAGAGAGCTTAATTTTAACTCACAAAACTTCTGAGATATCATTAGTTATTTTAGTTTTTTAGAAGAGAAAAAATTATTGACTAATTTAAGTTTACAATGTAAATTAATCGGATTTACCTATTTGCATTTGATAAGAGGTAACAGTAAAGAACAGTTGTTAATCATTCCTTATACATTTTGATAGATGTGAAATTAAGATATAATTTAAGTAGAAAGTAAAAGGTCAAAAATTATATTATTATATGTATAGAAATAATTACTTTCTAATTCAAAAACAAACTTTTTATTTTGGCCTCAGGTTGATTTTTAAACTTTGAATAGTGCCTATATCGTGGAACTTAATCTTTATCAATGGCTCAGGCTAAATCATTAATTATATTTGATTTATATAAATATTTATAGTGCGCCATAAACAGATAAAATTTTTTCTGTGCATCCCCGCAGCTATACATGGGCATCGATCATACCGACTCTCTCAGCCTCTTTCTACATCAAGCCTCTAGTTTGAGTTCGTATTCTTTAACTCCCTTCCCTTATGTCCACTGACTTCCTGATGCTATCTCAGTATATATGGAGTTTAGGGAAACTATTCCGTCTCGCTCCTCCAGGTTTTCTCTCTTTAACGATCTTGACGGCAATGAATGCAGGTCCTTCAAGTCACCCTTAGAATCTGAAGCACAAATTAAATATTTTTTATCTGATTTTTTTTATAGTACTTTAGAAAATGTGATTGCTAATTATTATATATTATAAATGCTTTAGATTATCAAATAATAAAACTATAGTAAAGAGTATTTAAAGTTTTAAGGCTGATGAAGAAAAATTATATTGATTGGATAATTCAAACTATCACAATTATTACATATTTTTCTCTAAAAACAATTTAGAACATTTTCTACATGACTAAATAACTATATCAAGTTAGTCATGATAAATGAAAGAAATTTTTTCTACTACCCACAGATTTATTATATCAAATTTTTATTATTGAACTAATTATATTTAATTATTGATATTTGTTTTATTGAAAAAGAATTTAGAAATTAATATTTGCTACAACGAAAGAAAACTCTTTTAACCTATTTTTCAAAAACCAGTTTAATTAAAATATCAACGTAGACAAATTTTACATTTTGATGTTCTATGTATTTTTTTTATTTGTTTATACAACTTTTGTATAGAATTATATTTTGAAATTTCTGTTACAGCACTTCTTTTCTGTCTTTTTTTTTTCTAAAATATTCAGAATCTAGAAATGTATTGATTTCTATATTAAAATATTTACAAATTAGATATTTAGAATTATTACTTAATCTAAGCCTAGATTTAATTTCAGTAATAATTTTCAATTAATGATATTTTAAATTTTGATAGAAAAATGATAAAATAAATTTAATAAGATTTTTATGTTAATTCATGCTAAAACATTAATGAATATTAAAAAATGATAATAATAATAATAAGAAAAATTTCTTTGATTTATTTATGGAAAATTAGTTATATATTACAACGGAATTCCTACAGCCCTTTAAACATGGCAGAAAGGGATTAGATAAGACCAAATTGAAAGAGATATGATCCTCATTTCTTTGATCCTTTTGTAGTTCTAAAAATTTCTGAACCCTATCCTTAGGTGAGTCCCATTAAGAGAAGATCTTTTAACATTAATTTATAAGGCGCTTGTTCTGCTGCCTTACTTCATTTTCTGAATTTTGGACTTGCATACCAGAGCTTTCTTTTTTTATTTGTCTTGGCATCCTATGATGTAAAGGCACAAAGCTAATTAATTTTCCAAAATTTAATTTACAAAAACTATTGGGGGGTATTGAGGGTCCCAAATGAGATTCATATTATGCACTTTTCCAAAAGTATGCCTTGTTAGGATCAGGCATTATACTCTAAATATTTCTACTTTAGATATAATGGCACTTCATTTTTATCTTACTTTTCTTTATCACTTAGGCAATTCCATTTCCTATCTTTTTCTCCTAATTTCTAATTAAAGTTTATCGATTTATTTCTTTTCTTTTTCTTTAACAATACAAGAACCATTTCTTTCTCTAGTAAATTTCCATATATTCTATTAACTAGTTGATCCCTTATAGGAATAGATCGCTCTTCCTGTAGTCATATTTAACTTAGGATAGTTTTGAAAGGGATAGTCATATTTTATATGCTTTTAAGAAATAAAGGTGGTTCATTTTTTCTCTAGCTTTGTGCATAATGTTTATTTTTTTACACTATTTAATAAAGAAATATTTCACAAGGAGATCTTCTTCTGTTTCTTCTCTACTTTAGTTTTGAAGTTTTATTAAATTACAAGCCCCTTAATAATTCAACATCCTTCTAATTGTTTGTCAAATAAATTTCTTTCTTCTTCTTGAGTATTTAGAACATCAGGCTATGATCAATCTTAATTGCCAATTCATTCTCATTTTTACCTTTTTCTAATCCTTTCCACCTATTTCATTGATAATATATAAACCCCAAT